TTGAGCAATACAAGCAAATAAAATACTTCTATCCCACCTAAAATGTCTAAAATATCCCTAAAACAACTTCTACCCGCAATAAATTACATAGTGGGGTATATTTTAGATATTTTAGGTGAGAGTAAAAGCGTTTAATGAGGTGCGCAAAAATTTAGGGCGGAAGAGTTTTAAGGAACGGATGGTGTACATGGAATAGCTGCTTATGAGTAATATAAATGCTCCAGCCACTAACTCCACAACTACACATTAGCATGCAAAATAAAATATTAACCACACATATTTAGCATGGTTAATAAGTTCATTAACCACACTTATTTAAAAGTGCGGCAAAAAATTCCCTACATCTACGTTGCTGCACTTGGGTCATGTGTGGCAAATCGTTTTTTCCATATTTATAAGTGTGGGGAACAATGGTTTTAAGTGTGCCAAATTACCAACTTTCTCCTAGTGATACTGCATGCACAACTACTACTACTGCGTACAACAACAACAACAACTACTACTACTACTACTGATAATAATAATAATAATAATAATAATAATAATAATAATAATAATAATAATAATAATAATAATAATAATAATAATAATAATAATAATAATAATAATAATAATAATAATAAAAGCAACAATAATAATAGCATTTATAATAAAAATAATATGAAAAATGTACTTAAATAAATTTTTGAAAACTCCCTCCAAACGTGTCCAATTTTTTTCTGTTTCTTCTAGTTTTTTTTTCAATTTTTCTAGTTTTTTCATTTTTTTGTTTCTTTCAATTTTTCTAGATTCTTCATGTTTTTTTCAATTTCTTCATGTTTATTTCAATTTTTTGGAATTACTTCCAGTTTCTTCTAACATACGACTTTTTTTCCCAACCCTAACGAACATGCTCTTATTCCATGTACCGCCTCTAAAAAGTTATAAATATTTTGACTTTTAAATAGTTTAAGAAAAAAAATTGTATGATGAATGTTCATGGAGAGAAAAAAAATAATGTAAATTACTGATATGTTTCCTTAATAAAAGTGACAAATTTTCTAGGACAAATGGAGAATGAAAACAAGACACTACAACAATCCAAGTGCACCCACAATTTTATTTTTCGAAACAAAGAATATTTTAGAAGATGTACGAGTGGTACGAAATGACACCACAACTCTTTGACTATTTGAGGGTAACTATATTATTTTACAAGTGGCTTATTAGGCTTCAGGATCCCACAATTAAATGCAAAGTTCACATAATTAAAGAAGGTCACATTATTATGGATAGTTACATATATTTAGTACAAAAAAAAAAGATATTTTCATTTCATTTTTTGCACATTCCATTAAACATTTTGAATGTTATTTTGAATGTTTTTTTTGACATTTGTGACGAGATAAAAGTATTTAAAATGATGCTTAAAAAATGGAACAAGAACGTTTTTTTGAAACGGAAGGAGTATGTAAATGTAATCATGAATGTATTGGTATTTGGTAGTTGAGTTCATCTATGTTACGTTTTTTCAAAAAGATGCATAGATGAACACTACTATGCATTAACACTTTGTTTCTTCATGAATTTTATTCGGAGAAAACAATGGCGATGGGAAGAGTAAAGTTTTTTTCATTTTCTTATTACATTTTGTCTTCTCATTTAGTTTTTTCCTTTTATGTTTTATATTTTCTTTTCTCCTATAACCAATACGCATGAAAATTAAAAATTATTTTGTTTGCATTTTCATTCTTTTTTTCTTTCAAATTTCTTGAACCAAACTTAATGGTGCTATATAAGGGTATCAAGAATTTGGGGCACTAGGGTAAATAAACTATGGGAGTCTAATTAGTCATGCTCCTAATCAATTTGGGAGCCGGCAGAGGGGCCCCTGGGGTTTGTCAATATTTGCTTATTAACTGTTTAGATTCTAACTCTTAAAGATTAATTAGAGGGTGTTTGGGAATGATTAACTTGTAGATAAAGTAATTTTCACAAAAACTGAAAGCAAAAGTATCTCATACCTGTTTTTTCAAAACGGTATTCTATGTACAAAATAGTGGTGATGAAAAGCAGAAGCTGACATGCCAAACAGAGCAAAACTAGTTCCACTCAAAGCAGAAGTTGAATTATTAAAAGCAGCACACTGCCAAACACCCTCTTAAAATCATTAAACTCAACTTATAATAATCCAAAATTTGTCTTCCGTTGAAATATTGGAATAAATAATATTGCTCTCTTGAATTATGAAGTACATGATAGAGTATATATAGAACCTAAGAGACTTCTAACACAACTAGGAATAGAGAATGGAAACTAACTAAAATACAACTTCTACCATAACTAGGAATACTTAATATTATTGTCTAACATCCCCCCTCAAGCTGAACTCTGACTGAAGTAAGAGGAAGCTTGGACACTAGCTGGAAACTGGAAACTTTGAGAAGAGAGAAGTCTGACGACGTACACTGGTAGCTGCAGACATCGTTGAAGAAGAGAGATAATTGACGTGCGCTGGCAGATGCTGACGTCGAAGAAGAAGAGAGAAGGTTGACGTGCGCTTGTAGCTACTGACGTCGAAGAAGAATAGAAAAGGCTACTAGAGGTGCCTGTTTGATTGATTATCTTTGACATTCTTTGTCTTTTTCTTGGATCCAAGCAATGCCCTATTTCTTTCTTGAAGGGGTGTAGAGGTATTCTTTCCTCTTTCACTACTTCCCCTCTTAGCTTTGCTTTTGTGTTGTTTTTTTTTTTGAATTTTTTATTGGTTCTAAAAAGAGAAAGAGAAGGGAGGTTGATAATTAGAATGCATGATTTGAGAGAGAGAGAAAAGTTGGTTAAGAATTGGTGATGAAAGAAAAATTTGGGTTTGAGATTTTGATATGGTGAATTGGAGATAAACAACAATCGTTTTTTTTCTTCTTTTTTTAGAAGATATGATGAGTTGAGAGAGTTTGTGTGGAGTTGATTTTTTTTGAAGAACCATGGAGATGACAAGAGAGAAGTTCCACCTTTGGTGGTTTTTTTGTGATTTCAACAGGTTTGTTTTTCTTTTTCTTCCATTTGAATGGAGAAGTTGATTTGAGGATAAAAGAAGAAAAAGATAATAGAAGTGAATAGGATAGAGTGGTCGTCGCCGGAATTACCGGCGGCGGCGGTGGGAGCAAAGAACTCTTTTAGGTCACCAAGATCGGAGGCTCCGATACCACGTTGAAATATTGGAATAAATAATATTGCTCTCTTGAATTATGAAGTACATGATAGAGTATATATAGAACCCAAGAGACTTCTAACACAACTAGGAATAGAGAATGGGAACTAACTAAAATACAACTTCTACCATAACTAGGAATACTTAATATTATTGTCTAACAATAATTAAAAGACTTACTCCTCCCTGAAAACCTTTCTACTTATTTTCATCTGTACCAAAAAACCTTTTTTCATTTCTACTAAAAAGTCACCTTTATCCCTACTAATTCTTAACCTACCTATCACATTACATCTATTTATTGCTCCCTCCATCCACAAATAAACTTCCCATTGCGCGCCACGATGTTTGATTGAAGTTATTTTCAAATCGTTTTATATGAAAATTGTTGTAAAATTTAAAAATAAAAATTACAAATTAAAAAGCTTGACCCTGTGAATAATGACGAAAATAGGCCTACAAAGTGAATAAAGTTTGACCCTGTGAATAGTGAACGAGAAGTTTATTTATGAACGTAGGGAGTATTAATCTACATATCAAACTTTTTTTACTCATCCAATGTAAGAACATTTTGAAAACTCAACATCAAAATACACTTTTCTTAAATCAATTAAAAACCACAAGATCCCAGGCTTTTAGGGACGGAGGAAGTAAAAAATTATATATAGACATGGCGGACCCACATAGAGTCACACGGGGTCATGCGACCCCACACACCTCCACGTATCTTTATAGTAATAAACTTCATTTGTGTCTTATATTTGTATATCCTATCCTATCCTACATCCTATCTTATATCCTATCATATATATATATATATATATATATATATATATATATATATATATATATATATATATATATATATATATATATATATATATATAATTATTTTATACTATCCACAACTTATTTTAGTTTATTACTTTTCAAAAAATGATTATATAAATTTAATCAAATATGCATATTTATTAATTAAATACTTTGTTTGAAAAATTTTATCTTATTACATTATTTATTTTATTGCTACATATATTTTTTAACAAAGTAAATAGAGTAAAACTGGTTTAATTGAATGGTGACAACTGACAAGTGAAATTCTGACACATATACATTCTCTAATGATGTATCATTATGTAATTTATCCATTTTTTATTAAAATATTATATTAATTAAAACTATTTTTATTAGTACTTAATTCAATGACCATTAATTTTGTAGAATTTGTTTGTTTTTAAATTAACATACCAATATATATATTCTACCAGTTTAAAACATATTTTGTCACTATTAGAAAACTAAAACAACCAAAATTATATTTATAGAATCTCAAAAATTTAGAATATATACGAACCCGTGCGAAGCACAGGGTTAACACTAGTATACTAGTGAAATTGAAAAATTATGTACATGGTTCAATAGCCTCATGGTTGCCCGTCTCAGTGAGGAAAGAATTACCTTTGACTGTTACAAAATTTAGTTTTGTAATTTGACTTTTCAATTAAATTATTAGCGTAAAAAAAAAGAAAGATAATTAACTTAAACAACTAACTTATTATATCAATGCAAAATGGGTAGATTATATTGCAATGACTTTATTTAGATATATTAGTCACTTTAATAAAGAAAGAAAGTGTTTCGGGCAAAGCAAAAAAAATATGAAAGAGGATGGATTTTAGTGGACGGCGGGAGCACTACTCTTCTTTTCCTTACATTGTGAATGCAAGAAATAAAGAAATTAAAATACTTTCTTTCCAATAACATTCCAACAATAAATGTAAACTACAAGAAAAAAAATAAACTATAAATAAATAATACAGCATATTAATTATAAACTATGAATAAATAGGTCTAGATGGCATTGATGAGGCATCCTGGTGATGGGTTAAATGATGAATTCAAGTATGTGAAATGAGCATTAGCACAAGACAATTGGACTGCTCCATTTTTGTATCCCAAATTAACATTGTTTAATGTTATGCCATCACATGACTCTTTTGGGCTACAATTTAACTCTATACCCACTTCTGTTGCTGATGTCCCATGAATGTCTTGCAAATTTATGCCACTTATTTTCACACCAGAACCCTAAACAGAAAAAAAAATTAAAACAAATTAATAGCAGATTATGAATATGCAAACTTAATTAAGCGCACAAGGTGTGTAAGGAGAATGTACAAAACCCTAATGATTGTCCTTGTTAAAGGGAATAACGGGTGAATGAGAAATTGATTTTCAGGGTTAACTCGTTAATAGAAGAATATGTTATGGATTGCAATTTTATTGCACCAATCTTGTATTATATTTTTACGTGATGTTTAAAATTAGAACATAAATATGTAAATAATAATTTTGATTTTTTTTGGGAAAATAGGGAGTACGTATAGTGGTGAAATACGTATTTGATCTCATCATCAAGGCATGCATAGTAAAAATATGACCTGGTTAGGGCAACCAATGGGGTGAGAAGGGCAGTAGTTCTGGTCAATAATGATGGGGTTTTGGGCGTTGGAAATGACTCCATGCTCAAAAGTGATGTTTTTGGCAAACCCATTGCTTGGCCTTGACCATGTCTTGATCCTAAACCCATTTTGGGTGCCAAAGAATGAAGCCCCACTCACTGTCACATTCTCTACTCCTCCCTCTTGTACTTGCCAGCCTAGACTCCCTATGCTGCATACATAAACACGTACAAGCTAAGCTGCTTAGCTTGAGTAATTGGATAAATATATATATATATATGACGTACTCTTTTGAGTTTTTGTAGTGCATGCGTCAAAATTCAAATGAATGTAGACGTGACGTATGTCCAGGTTCATTTGTTTTTAATTTATCAAAAAATCATTATAATGGTCAGCTAAATATGAACGAATGGATCGAGTACAGTGTACTCCCTCCATATTGACGATGCAATTGATCAAAAGCATCATTCATTTCAAGCAACCGATGCGAAAGTCCCGGGGTTCGAAAAATTTAAAAAAATGTATTTAGAGTTTTCGCATCAGCTCATAGAAAATAACTGATGCAAGTGACTAACTGCATAAGTTGAATTGTTCTAATAGCAGATCGATGCTTTTGAGGTTGTTTTATTTCTAGCTTGTTTTTCTAGTAGCTAGCTAGTGAATTAGTTTGACCTGATTCCATGCCCCGGGCCGCAAGTGATGTCGTTGATCCACAAGTTGGAGCTCCCCGGGCCGATAGAGATGCAATCGTCGCCCGTGCCAATAACAGAATGTAAGATTTTCACGTTAGAGGAAGATTCTACATGAATGCCATCGGTGTTGGGGCTATCTCCGGGAGCGGAGATGGTGACATTTTCTACTCTAGCATTGTTGGATCCGTAGATGACAATGTGAAACATTTGGCTATTTTGGGACTTCAACCCGTAGATGACAATGTCACTTGAGTGATAAAAAGCCAGCGCCTGTATTTATCAAAAACATATATACCAAACGTTTAGAATAACCCAAAACAATTCCGTCCTACAAAAGTTTTCTGGTTTTGATTTTTAAAGTATTTAAGGGAAGTATTTTTTTGGTATTGACTTTCCAAAAATACCTTTGGATGTGATTAGTAAATAATTTTATTAGATTCCATGAAATTAAAAAGCATGTAATACTTTGAATTAAAATTATTTTTGTATCTTGATTTTTAATTAATTTAATTGTCCATTTGTAATTAACTAAACATAGATGTTATATTAACTAAGTATTATGCCAATATGCATCTCACTATTTTAAAAAAAAATTAAAAAATATTTATTTTATTATTAAGATATGTTAGGTTATACAAACTTTATAATTATATTTTAAAAAACCAAAGTTTTACATACAATTTTAAAACTATTCACTGTTTTCTCCTTTTATTACTTTTCAAGAATGAAGATTTATATAAATTTTAATTAACATGCATAATTATTAAAACTCAACGTTATTCCAAAAAAGATATCCTATAAAATTTCAAATCAATAGATATATCTTACGTGACGCAAAACACAATATAAAAACTACTACCTCTATTCTCGAAAAATAGTTCCAATTTTGACCAAGTGTAAAAATAAGGAAGTTTTTAATTGTAGTCGACTTCTAATTTTGTCCTTAATGTGATGGATAAAAGTAAGAAGTGATGGATAGATTATAAGAAAAAAAGTATGATGTGATATGTAGGGAATGAAAAAAAAGAGCAAAGTGGTTTTTTAAGAGCTAGAAAGTGGAAGTGCTTTGCTGAAAAAGAAAAAACTGAAAGAGAAAGTGTTTTATAGAACGGAGAGAGTAGTGTGTAGTATGTGTATATACCGTAGTTCCTTGGGGACATTCTTTATTCGCGTGTTTGCATGCCCAAAGACTAGCGCCTTGCCCGTCGATGGTCCCGCCAACAATAGAAACCCCAGAAACGCTATTGAAATTGATCCACGTGCCATCACGCCCGATTACATTGAAGTCAGAAGGGGCCACAAGTACACCATCTATTTGAAACGTTACGGCGTTGCTCTTGCATTGGCCTTCAAAAGTCACACTCCCCAGTAAAAACGTCCCCGGGGGCACGTAAATGGTCGCGGCCTCTGTGGACCCACAGGCCGCGGTCCATGCCCCCAAGAAGGCCTTGCTCGAATCCGTCTTTCCGTCGGGTACCGCTCCATATGTTAGGACATTGTAGCTATTAGAAATGGCTGCTACTCTTGCTAGAGATGCTATTATTCTTATGTACATTGTAATAAAGGAGAAAAGAAGTAGAGAATGACTTATGGATTTTGCCATAACTTTTTTATTGTAGCTTAGTGTTTTTTTTAATGCAAAAGGAGAATAGTTTTTTTTTGAACACTAATAGATAAAAGGAGAATAGTGTTAATGCATATATAGAGTGGATACTAGCTATATAAAAAGGAAACATATGTATGAAAAAATTATAATTAATTATATACCATTCGACATTATTGTGTTGTTGTACATGTTTTTTTTGGAGTTTTAATCATTTTTCGGATTTGTAACAACTCTTTTCTTTTTTTTGCCCGCAGTTAATATATGACTATATATATTTTTAAATAATTCATAAATATAATGAACGAGTTTTTTTAATTTAGTTGAATTAATTAATTCTATGCAATATGGAGAGTGATATATATAGGTGGAGTACATACTATAAATGTGCATATCCTATGTATTTTTGTGGAATGCTATATTTATGAGAATTTAGCTTATTTATGAATGGTATGAATCATTTTCCATTAACATTTTGGAAGGGGTAGATACTCTCAATGTTCAACTTCATCAATCCTTCTCGTTAAGTTGCACTGAATAGGACTAAAACATAAGTCATTTTCCAATGTCGGACTTAAACTTTTTTATTCCCTAAATATGACTTAATAATGATTAGTGAGAAGAATAATATCCAAGTAATGCTGAATATTTAGTTGGATAATGACCAATGATCCTACATTGGAAAATGGAAACATATGATGCTATATATATTGAGAAAGTCATTATGTTTTAGTCTTATTTAGGTAAATTACCCATATTAACGATGAATTAGGATCTTTGAAAAAAGTAAAATATCTGCATGTCAGCCTAGTAAAAGCGCAAGAAGACCCACATTTCACGAACTATTAGAATAAAATTATTTTTTCAATTTTATGAAAAATATACTCACATGTCCCTGAAAATATTTCTCCTTTCTTTTTTCATCCGTTCCGAAAAACAGATCTTATTTCTATTAAAAAGTTACTTTTATCCCTTACTTTTTCACACTCTACCTATCACATCATACATTTTTACTAACAATCTACCCATCAAATCCTATTTTTACCCATCGCATCAAAGGATTTTTTTGAAAATTCAATACCAAAATACATTTCCCTCAAATGTCTTAAAAATCAATAACTCCCATGTTTTTAGGACCGGAGGGAGTAGTTTTTCTTCTACACACTAGAGCATGTTCTTTAGGGTTAAAAAAATTAATTGGATATTGGAAGTTGAAAAAAAAAACTAGAAGAAATCATAAAAAAAATTGGAAACAACTAGAAAAGCTAAAAAAATTGGAGTTTTGTGTACACAATATTTACATATTACAGACAATTAATAAAAAATAAATTAAATAAAAAATTATTAATATTTTTATTAGTTATATTTTAATTATTAGTTGTGTTCTTTGTTATCTAATTTCTTCAACACATTTTATGGGTCATTTTTCTTTTTCATAATGTAGTACAGAGTTGTATAATTATTATTTTTGAATTTAAAACATGAATGTTTTTCAAAGTTTAATTTAGATTTTAAAAAGTAATTATTTTATCCACAAATATTATAGAATTGTTTAGTACTCTGTATCATGTGAATTAATTAACAAAAAATGAAGCACAAAAATGGTGAGATGGGAAAAAAATAAAATTAGAAAATTTGAAATAATTTTTAAAAGATAGTTATGAAAATAATAATAACAAAAACATCAAAATACATCATTTTTAGAGTCATCATTTAGACGGTAGAAAAAGTTTGAAGCAAATAGAAATAACCGGGAAAAATTGGAAGATATTAGAAAAAATACAAAAACTGTAAGGAATTGAAAAAAACTAGATAGGGAAATGCTCGAAAAAATAAAATTTAATACGGAGTATAATTCTTCCATCACCCTTCCACACATTATTTAAAAAAAAATGATTATGTTCTGTATTACTCCCTCCATCTAAAAATTTCTTTCTCGGTTTGACTTGACACGAAGATTAAAAAATACTCCCTTCGTCCCTAAATAAACTTCCACTTTCGTTTTTTCTTTGTCCCCAAAAAAACTTCTCTTTTCCCTTAAAAAACCACTTTTACCCCTTACTTTGTCATACCCTACCTATCACATCATACTTTTTTACTAATAATATACCCATCACATCTTTGTTTTATCCATCACATCAAGGGTATTTTTGGAAAATCAACACCAAAATATCCTTCCCTTATTTTCTCAAAAAGTCAATAAAGAAAGTTTATTTAGGGACGGAGGGAGTATTAAAAAGTGTAAAGACTTTACATGTTTTGCCCTTGATGTGAGGGAATAAACTAAATAGTGTAGAGAAAAATAATGGTATAATGACACATTTATTAAAAGCTTTTTTCCAAAATAGGAAATGGGAAAGGAGTTTTTGGGCAACCCAAAAAGGAAAGTGAGAAAGAATTAATGGACGAGGGAGTATTAAACTAGCATTTTAACCCGTGCTATGCATAATGTTTCAAAATCTATAGTTTTTCTTCAATCTTTTTAAGGGTTTATTATTTTGAATTATAATTTTTAGGATCCGTTAGGTTGGGAGAAAAAAATATTTTCTAGAAATTTAAGTTTAAATGTTTTTACGTTTGATTACATAAGTGGTATATAATGTACTCATATAAAAAATTCTTCACAAATAACAAAAAAAAAAATAATGATTTTTCAAAAAACATTTTTATAAAAAATGAGGTTTTAAAAAAATTGGAAGGGGGGGTTGGTCAATTCTTTATGGAAATCATTTCCGACAAAAAAAGTTTCAAGAAAATTATTTCCCCCCAACTAATAATATTGCGTCTGACTCTTTCGGTTATTTTTAACTTTCAACTTTTTTTAGTTTAATAAAAAATAATTGTCATGAAAATAATTATAACATTAGTTTTAGTTTATCTTTAGTACGAAGTAAATAACGAAACAAAATCTTTGAATATTATTCAACAAATATTAATAATTGTATTTTTATTAGATATCATCAAAAGTTGGCTTCCTGTATTATCCATATTATTTTTAATTGGGAAAATTCTTCTGTAGTCATAAGGTCTACATTCATTTTATAATTAAATATATACTTATTTTTTTCCAATATATATAGATTAATTTTAAAATAATGTACTCAATAATATACTCCGTATATCTTTTTAATTAAATAAAGACTGACAGTCACCAATATTTTTAATCAAAAGTTCAATTTCAAACGTTAATTTTAATTCTACATAATAAAAAGATAATGAAATTCTTAAAATTGTTCAATAAATATTACGGAGTACGAGTAACCATTATACTTTTATGTTAAATGTAATCAAGATTTATATTTTTAAACATTAATATGGTTACATATACTAAAATTTGTTATTTTTTTAATTAAAAATAATTTCAATAATTACAAACCAACTGCTTATCTGAATATCTTTAAACATAAATATACAAACATTTTGTATTTATATTAGTATTATATCTTAAAATATGGGTGAATATTAGCTCAAGAGCCTTCTGGTGTCCAAAAAAAATTATTCCATTTAATTTTAGAAATAAAAAGAGGACATCTTGTTTATAAACTTTTGAATTTGTTGGAGGTTGATCTGGAAAAAAAATCATTATTTTTTCTTAAAATTCGTTCTAATTTCTTTCAATTTGTTCCAATTAATTACTTCTAACTCTTTCCAATTACTCCAAGCTGCTTCAGATTCTTCTAAGTGGCTCATGTTTTAACTTTAATTTTACAACCAAAATGAATCTAAAATAGCCTAATTAATTTGTTCTTTTTATTCAAGTTTGGTTAAAGATGTTATTTAACCAACCAGCAGAAATTCTTAGGGTTTCAACCACTGCACACACATTATGAACTCTATAAGGACTAAGGGTGCACTTTTAAAAGTAATGACACAAAAACTCTATACTTCCTCCGTCCCATGAAACATGAGACTTTTGCTTTTTAGGAGGGATTTAAGGGGAGTGTATTTTGGTATTGAATTTCCTAAAATGTCCTTTGATGTGATGGGTAAAAGTATGATTTGATTGATAGATTATTAGTAAAAAAGTATGATGTGATAGTTAGGGTATGAAAAAGTAAAGGGTAAAAGTGACTTTTTAATATAAATGAGAAGTGTTTTGTGGGACGAATAAAAAAAGAAAGGAGAAAGATTTCATTGGACGGAGGGAGTATTATATTGTTAAGGAAAGAATCATCTGTAGTACATTATATTATTGTATACAGAGTATAATTCTTCTTTTCCTCACATTATTAGTACAAGAAAAAAACAAGAAAATATTTTTCTCCCAATAATAACAACAATAATAATTCAAAACAATAACTGAAAACTACACATAAACAAACAAACTATAATTAAAGCCAATTATTACATTATTCCTACATACTGTTATTTCAAGGTCTCCAAAAACCCTTGATGGCATTGATGAGGCATCCTGATGATGATGGCTTTACTAATGAGTTCAAGAGGGTGACATGGGCATTATTGGCACAAGACATTTGGGCTGCTCCATCTTGGTATCCCAAATTAACATTGTTTAATGTTATGTCTTCACATGATTCCTTTGAGCTACAGTTCAACTGTATGCCCACTTCTGTTGCTGATGTCCCATGAATGTCTTGGTAACTTATATCACTTATTTTCACACCAGAACCCTAATCCAGAAATAATAAAAAGCGGATTAAGAATACGTAAACTTAATTAATTAAGAACACAACGAGGTAGACACTCCATTGTCCGTCCCACAAAACATTTCTTGTTTTGAATTTTAAGAGTTATAAGAGAAGTGTATTTTGGTGTTGGCTTTCCAAAAATACCCTTGGATGTGACAGGTAAAAGTGTGGTGTGATTGGTAGGTTAATTAGTAGGGATAAAAGTAATTTTTTAATAGAAATGAAAAAAGTTTTTTGGGACGGATGAAAAAAGAAAAGAGAAAGGTTTTGTGAGACAGAAAGAAGAATAATGTACAAAAACCCTAGCAAATAATTGACCTTGTTAGGGCAACCATTGGAGTTAGGGCAGTAGTTCTGGTCAATGATGATGGGGTTTTTGACATTGGACATGATTCCATGCTCAAAAGTGATGTTCCTAGCAAACCCATTGCTTGGCTTTGACCATGTCTTGATCCTAAACCCATTTTGTGTGCCAAAGAATGAAGCCCCACTCACTACCACATTCTCCACACCTTCCTCTTGCATTTCCCAACCTAGACTCCCAATGCTGCACCAGAACAAAACAACATAAACACACCTTCAAGCTCGTTGAATGAATGTGGACTATGCGTGTGTCCATATTCATTTGATTCTGAACGTACATTATGACGGACATATCTTTAAAAACGTAACAAGTATATTCTCTGTCCCTGAGTATTTGTCCAGTTTTAAATTTTTTTAGTGAAGTAATTTCGATCAATCTCTGGCCTATAATTGAATAAAGTACTATACATATTACTACATGTTAATTTGATAAAACAATTTTTTGAGAATATATATTATAAAATGAATCTCATAAAATTATTTTTATATCAATATCTAATACGAAGTATCTATTTGATTTAATTTGTAGTCAAAGTTTGTTAAGTTTGACCTAAAAAAATTAAAATCAAAGTAGACAAATATCCAGGGACAAAAAGGAATACAAGGTGGGGAGTTTGACCTGATTCCATGCCCTGGCCCGCGACAAGTTAGAGCTCCCCGGGCCGATTGAGATGCAGTCGTCCCCCGTGCCGATAACAGAACGAGATATCTTCACGTTAGACGATGATTGGACATGAATGCCATCGGTGTTGGGGCTATCTTCGGGAGCTGAGATAGTCACAACGTGTACTCTAACATTGTTGGATCCATAAATGACAATGTGAAATTTTTGGCTGTCTTTTGACTTTAACCCGCCAATAGCAATGTCACTTGAGTGATAAAATCCCAATGTCTGTACTTACCATACATATATATATATACCAAAAGATCATTGCAAAAAAAATATTAGTTTTTAAATGCTCTCTAGCATCTATATATATATATATATATCATATTTCTATAAAAATATATCAGTGTTTTCGTCAAAAAATAAAAGACACAATGTTTATATAGATATGGTCAAACTATACTTTCTTTCTTTGTTTTGGGTGGAACGTAACATAATAATGATATTTAAGACAAGGGGACGATACCCTAGCTCCATTGGGGCATTTATTATTTTTGGATTGTTTGCATGCCCATAGATTAGGACCTCGTCCGTCTAGGGTTCCGCCAACGAGGGAAACCCCGGAAACGCCGATGAACTCGATCCAAGTCCCGTCACGCCCGACCACATTGAAGTCGGAAGGGGCCACGAGAACGCCGTTGATTTGAAACGTCACGGCGTTGCTCTTGCATTGCCCTTGGAAAACCACACTCCCCATTAAGAAATTTCCAGGGGCACGTAAACAGTGGCGGCCTCTACAGACGCGCAGGCCGCCGCCCATGCCCTCAGAAAGGCACCCGACGAGTCCGTCCTTCCGTCGGGGCGGGCCCCATATGTTAGGACACTATAGTTATTACTAGACATGGGTGTTGGAAAAGCCCTAGTTATTAATATTATGTTCATAATAATAAGGGAGAAAAGAAATAGAGAATAACTTAAGGACTTTGACATTTTTTTTGTTTACTTGGATGGTTGAAGCTTGAAAAGGTTGAAGAGGGAAAGGGATAGGGTTTGTGCATATATAGTCCCATGAATGGATATATAAAAAGGAAATATTTGACTAATTGCGTACATGATCAAATTATAATTAATAATTACCAATTTACAATAATTTCGGATTATTTAATAATTTTGCGGATTTGTAATAACTCTTTTCTTAATTTACGCTGCAATTAATAGGACTTGTACCGGAGTATAATTGAACGAGTTTGTAGTGAAATTAATTAATTCTAGTTAGTGACACTCTGAGAGTGATATATTTGGTGGAGTAGTTAGGCAACATTTCACAAGTATTTGTCCATTTTTGATATTTTTTGGATTAAATCGATAAATTTTGACCCCAAATTAAACCAAAATGATACTAGATATTGACCTTTTGAAAATTTTGATAAAATATTTTCAAAATATTATTTTATCTAATTAATATACAATATATATTTTATTTAGTTATAGGCCAAATGTTGAATATGATTAACTGAAAAAATTCTAACTCGATAAATACTTGGATGAGATAATACTATATGCGTGCATAATCTTTGTGGAATGTTACGCAAATCCATGAATGGTAAGAATCGTTTGCCGTTAATATTATGGAAGAAGTTTCCTAAAAAAAATATTATGGAAGAAGTGGATATTCTCAATGTTCAATATTTCTATAATGGAGTATAAAGATAAATCAAGTAAAAATATACTCCCTTCGTCTTAATTTAAATTTACTGTTTTGATTTAAGATGTTTGATTGAATTCATTTTCAAATCATTTTGTATGAAAAACGGTGTAGAATAAAAAAATAAAAATTACATATTTAAAAACTACATCAAAAGATCTACAAAACTATTATTGACATAACTATATTATTTCATCAAATGACTAACGAAAATAGAGAAAGAAAGAAAGTAAATGAGATTTGACCATGTGAATAGTAACATGCAATTTAATTTGGGACAGAGAAAGTAATATTTTAGATTATATTTCAAAATTAATTTAGTAGAAAAGACTAAAAATATGATTATAATATATGGTAAAAACAAAATATTGACTTTTACATTTTTATTTCAAATATATTGTCAAGATATAATACCAAAAAAATTATAGAATACGAACGAATATACAACATCTTATTGTCACAATGCAAAAGTTTTATCATTTATCCTTTTTTCACTTCAAAGAATTGAATATTCACTTTTTTTTTCACTTCAATTATTTCACCTCTTTCCTTCACCCATTTCCCTAAGGGTTTGTTTGGTTGGAGGGAATCGGAATCCCTCCCTTGTTTGATTTAAAAACATGGAGGGGAAGGGATCCAAAATTTTAGCTTCAATTCCCTCCTCTCCCCTCCAAATCAATCCTTCCAAATCAGACTGAATCTTATTTCCTCTTGCCATTCTCTTCTTCTTCTGTCAATTTTTTTCACCTTATAAATAAAAAATAATATAAAATAAAAAAACATAAAATAAAATTAAAATAAATAAATAGATAGTAGTAATAATTAATAAGTAATGCCAAAACAACTAAATAAATAATAAGAAAATAAAATAAATCATTATAGCATGACAAAAAATTAATAATAACAAATTTGTATACTAATAAAATAAATAAATAAATAAAAATAAAAAACTAAATATAAAAATAATTAAAATTAAAATGAAAAATAATAGTATAATAAAATAAAAACCCATAAAAAAATTATAGAAGAAAAGGTAGGAATTAATAATAGTAAATAATGATAATAATAATAAAATAAATCAATCCATTAATAATTCTATATATATATATATATATCCATACATATATAAGAAATAAAAAATCAGAATGTAGGATAAATAATAAAAATAATAAAAAAATTAAAATAATAAACAATAAAATGAAAGAATTATTAAATAAAAATATTGATAATAATTTTAAAATAAATAACAAAATAAATTTAAAGAGTGAAAAATATAAATAAAATATCGAAAATAAAACATTTTCTTCCCCTCCCAAACATGCAAGGTGAAAGGAATTCTTCCCTCCCCTTCCCAATTCCCATTCCCTCCCATCCATTCCTTCCCCTCCCCTCCCCTCTAACCAAACATACCCTAAAATGAAAATTACGTTTTCTAAAACTCATTAATCCAATTTTAGTGTTTGAAACATTTTTGCCCACATTTAATTGAACCTAAAATTTACACGAGAGTTTTTTAAATATTATTGACTCTATATATTTTTCTCAACCTAATGACCCACAAACAATCAACGCCTCTGTCTCTGCTGGGCTCGAACCAGGGTGAACCTAATGACACAAAAGTTTTGAATGTATGTATATTTTTTTTGTAAAATAATAAAGTTATATTGATCATATACTCAAAATACAACATCAAAAGATCTAAAAAGTTATACTCTCTCCGTCCCACACAATCTTTCTCCTTTCTTTTTTCATTCATCCCAAAAAAAATTTCTTTTTTTATTAAAAAGACACTTTTCCCCTTATTAATTATTAACCTACTTATCACATCACACTTTTTCACTATTGACCTACACATCACATTCAAAGGTATTTTTGGAAAGTCAACACCAAAATATACTCACTTTAAAATCCTTTAAAAGTCAAAACCAGAAAGTTTTGTGGGACGAAGGGAGAATTATTTTATCAAATTTTCAATGAAAATACTTTTTAAAGTTTTATTTTGAAACATTAAAGTACCAAGTATTGATTAATTTTATTTTTGATCTGTTTGAGCATAGAATTTTTTTAATAAATACGGAGTATTTTTTAATATTTAATAAATAATAAATATTTTGATAAAATAAAATATTCTTACCAGTTCTTGTTTTGTAGAACGTCATATGTAGTTTTTAAATATTTTTTTCTATAACAATTTTTAATTGAAACAATTTTTAAAACATGGGGTTCTCAGATCATAACTCTCTATCTGTTATCTAAATTAATGAGTACAAAAGCTAGCACTTGTGTAACATATACTCCCTTCCTCCTAGAATGATCTTCTCAGTTCATTTTACGGGGTTTGACTGAAAGTATTTTTAATTCAATTATTTGATTATAGGTGTAAAAAAAACTAAAAAAATATATATTTTAAGACTACATCAAAAGTTCTACAAAACAAGAGGTGACATGACTGTATTAGTTTATCAAATAACAAATGAAAATCGGGAAAGAAAATGATTAAAATTTGATAATGTGAATAGGACTGAGAAGATAGTTTTAAGACGGAAGGAGTAGTATTCATACTTTTCAATAATTGGTTATTGTCAATGATTTTCTTTTTCCTATATCTTTAATACTCCGTATATTAGTAAGTTATTTTTTTTTATTTATACTGGTAAAAAACAAGAATCTATGATAATAATAATAATAATAATAACAAAAACAACAACAACAACAATGATAATAATAACAATACCCGCACGGGTAGCCCAAGTGGCAAGCACTTGGTGAAGTTTGGAGAATGACCAAGGATCGAAACCTGGCAGCGAGCGTTGTGGGGGCGACCACCTCTGAAAAATGAGGGGAGTCTCTGGTGTGCACTAGGATATGGTCTAGCTAAGTGTTGTGCTTGGGTCACCGTGATTTACTTCCTCTCACATTCCCGTCGGATCGGGGGTGAGGGGCGCCCGGGGTGAGCGATTTCACCTTTTTTTTGGAGAATGATAATAATAACAATAACAATAAAATTATTAGAATACTCTGTATCTTCAAAAATAATCACTACTCTGTCTCGTGTTGCTCCACTTGTGCAAACACATTCGTGTGGTGATGTCGTAATCCCACAACCCCGACGACACCTGTCGCTCCATCTTCTTCCTCCTCCCGCTAACCCAGTTGTTGTGGAGCACAAAGCAGCCCTTGATCTCGCAAGCCTCTTTCGCATTCCCCACCTCCTCCCACAGCCCGCCGTTTGGGAAGTGGTCCCGGTCCAGGAAATGGACGCGAAGCTTCGTTGTGGGCTCTAAGCACCCATCCTCTCCGACGCGGTTCGACCCTCCTGCGCCACACAGTGTGTCGTAGAAGCTCGGCTGCTCGGAGAGGGTGGATGCTGTTGCGTGGATCACAACCTTTTGGAATGCGACAATGGTGGCATTGTCCGAATGGGCGTAGTAGAAACCGGAGTTTAGACGCCCGGGCAAGTTGATTGCTCCTGCAAGGATGACAACAAGGTTGACACCGTACCGCAAAGTATCTTCTCATTACTTTGTACTAAATAAGACTAAAACATAGGTCATTTCTCAATGTAGAACTTAAACTTTTTATTTTTTAAATAGTACTTAAAAATGTCTAGTGGGAGGAATAATGTCCAGGTGCCGGACATTTACTTGAATAATGACTAATGGATAATGACCAATGGTCCTACATTGAGAAATAAAAACATAGTCCTATATTAAGAAAGTCATTATGTTTTAGTTCTATTTAGGGTACCCTAAAGATGTACCAGTAAGATTGTACTCATCAGACTGTGCCACTAAAACTGCAGGCCCAAAGGAGCTAAGAAAGGGCAATGGGTTCTTGAACCAGTAAATATCAACATCACTCATCAGTACATTGTAACCCATCTTCAGTATCTTCAGAACCATTCTGGACTTCATTTTGGTTACTCTTTTAAAGCACTCTGTCCCAAAGTGGCAATCATCATAGCTGATTTTTGTTTCAGTTGATGAGTACTTGAACACAGGAAGTCCCTAGTAAAAAAAGAATAACAACAATATCAATAAACCCAGTAAAATCCCACAAACAGTACGTTCCGATTCACTTACACTATGTTTGGTTCAAGTAATTTGAAAAGGAAAAGAAAAGAAAATGAACTGGAAAACAGTTTTTCATGTTTGGTTAGAGAGGAAAGTGGAAGGAAAAGAAAATGAGAAGAAAAATGTACTAAGTGGAGTGAAAATCAAATTCCTCCCATTTTAGTGAGGAAAATGAGAGAAAATCATTTTCTTTTCTTTTCCTTCCAAAATCCTTGAACCAAACATAGTGTTAGGGTCCGTTTGTAAATATGGAAAATGAGTTCGGGAAAACGACTCGGGTTTGGTTGTGTGAGAAGCAGTGAAACAAGACACACTCACACACACTACCTGCAAGATGGAGAAGTCATAGACTTCATTGTCAAGGGCACACACCAAGAAGTTTGAGACTTTCAGATGTCGCATCCGGCAAGCCCAACTCATAAGCATGTCCTTATAGTTATACCCAACAACCGCCAGGACAATCGTCTTGTTCTTCTTGTCAGCACAAAGGGAAAGCAAAGACTCCAACGTTAGTACCCGAAGCGAAATGGGTATTGCCCGATTGAGGTTATCGGGTAGAGGGAAGTGTTTGGACCCTTCTTCTGCTGAACCCAAAGAAGTGACAATACATGTAAAAAGTTTTTGCTCTTTTGAGCTAAGATGGATTGCAATCTTTTCTGCAGTGTTTAGGAAAAAATATTTCCCTTCACACTCAAACAATCCAAAGAAGTTGGAATGTTTTGTGTCATGGAAATACAATGACCCATAACTTGTAGCAAGAATGAAATTCCCCATAAACTCCCAAGTTCTATCTGCACTTAACTTTTTGTGCTCCAAGTCAGGTTGGTGGAGGTATAGACTGGATATGGCATTGCTAGCATCAAATACGAACCGAAAATCGGATCTAAACGCTTCGTTGATTACCCAAAGGTTGTGGAATCCCTTTCCATATAGAAAAGGTGGGAGGATCCCATTGTGCAAGGGAATGTCTGCATTGTTCCATGCTATTAGGATCTGTTCTTGACACAGGCTCCAGTTTTGTTCCTTTGAAAGAAACCTCTGCATCTGCCAAAAAGATTGCAACTTTACATGTTGATCATACTAAAGTAGACTTAAGATTACGTGTCCAAAAACAAATCTGTGCGGGTTTGGGAAGAAAACAGAAAATATCGTACCTTTTCAATGTTCACATGTGTGCCATCATCTGTCAACCATTGCTTTCCATCTTCATCCAAACGAAATGGGAAGTTGGAAATGTTACGCGACAGAGCAAAAAGGAGCCATTCATGGTCAAGTTTGTGAGCATGTGTTATGGTCGAAATGAAGTCGGGCAAGAGAATAGATTCGGGGTGAATTAGAACAGAAATATCAGATTGGGATGCTTCTGAGTAGGCCATCATAGAGTGGAAGTATGGTGTGCCCAAGAATCTGCACACATCAGATTCTTCATTTTGGCATTTTTAGTTAGTGAAAAAAAAGTGCACATTTAGTCCTTAGTTATCTAACTTTAGCCATTATTAGTCTCTTGAGGTTAAAATTAGCAATTGTGACCACTAATTTTACCCTTCTTCTCAACCCTTTGCTTAATTTGGGGGGGGGGGGCTTACGAGAAGTCGATATCGGGCTGAACCGCAACCTTTGAGCCAAAAGACATGGCAAAAGATGAAGCAGAAGGGTGCTGGGTGAACAGCACAACGGCAATGTCAGGTGATAAGCCAAGCCATGATCTGACAGCAAGTTCCTGTCTTTCCCCAACCACACCATGAAAGGGCCTTGGAGCTGTGAAAATGGTGACTTTAGGGTTTCCCTTATCAAGACTACTAGTCCCTAATAAAGCATTTGCCTGCATCTTGGTTTGGTCTTTCAGAGGAGATGACAACAGAGAAGTTGAATACAAGGATACTGCCATCAACAGAAACCCAAACACCCATGTCAACCAAACCCCTTTCTGCAATCCCTGTCACTCAAATCCACTACAATCAACACACACACACACACACACACACACACACACATAGGGTCTCCAAAAGACATCATACTAATGAAGTTGGTAAACATGTTATTGGTTAAGTTCTTCCTCCCCATCTGGAATGTGAGTTAAGTGTCTTTCCTAACATGTAGCTTAATGAAAATGCTTTAAACAAAAAATAAAACTTAGGCTCCGTTTGGTACACGAAATTCAAATTATGGAATTGGAGACAATAATTCCAATTCCGCTGTTTGGTAACACAAAAATATGTGAATTTGGAATTGGTAGTGCCAAAAATGAATTGGAATTGGAGAATTCGATTCCATCGAAATCAATTCCATAGAATTTCAGCTCCCAATTCAATTCCAACTCCGTCAACTCCGTGTACCAAACGGACCCTTAATGTTATGCTTGGTTCGTGGAATTCGCAAGGAAAAGAATCCTCATTTTCATCACCGAAATAAAAGGAGAGTTATTTTCCCTCTTTGTAGTTTATTTTCTCCGCACATTTTTTCTTTTTCCATTTCAAATTTCTTGAACGAGTGTAAATGTTTATTTTTTAAAAAAAATGTTTTCAAAAATTCAAATCGTGTCACATTTGTTTGAGCATATTGCTGAGAGAAAACCAAACATGGCCATAATATAACAAAAGTGGAAGGGCTGTGATAAATTATACTACACCTTATTGTTGAGCTTCATTGGAAGAGATGAAGAAGAATATGATTTGTGAGTTCTGGAGGTGTGAAACTGTGAATGCTTGATGAATTGGAGGGTTATATAGTTAAATAAGAGAATTGAAGTGCCAGAAACATGAAAAAAGAAAGAAAGGAAGCATGCAAGTGATCAAATGGCGTGAGGGGAAGAATTATTTTTTTAATTGATTTTTGTATCATTTTTATCTAAATATGGTATACAACTATGCATCAAACCTTACTAGGGAGTTTTTTTGTAACTCAATTCTAAATTCTAAATAATAAACGAAATAAATTCACCTTGTTAATTACTCCACTATGTCTAAACTCCAACACTCATAAAAGTTAGAGTATGAACACTAATTTCGGACGCAAAAACTCAAACTGAATAATCCCCAAAACTTTCGTTAAAACAAACAACGGGTTTAACAACAATAGAAATATGAGATGTGTGCAAAATCCCTTTCCGAATCTCATCTCAAAGAAAATTAAATTTCACTCTAATATATTTGGCACGTTCATCAAACAACTCATTTATTTGGGCGTTTTGATTCCCTCATTCCCTAATTTGAATTTGGTTTTGGCTTTGTTCCACAATATTAATTAAATGCATACTCATAATCCGGCGTGTTACGACCATGTAAGACTCTAATTAGAATTTTGTTAGTACTTGAACGGTCACCCAAAACGCGCGTTACAAAGAAATGTTGGCTTGTTAGGAATCACGACAAAAAATGACATTACTTTTGCACAGCATAAAACATGCAATTATTTGAGATAAGTATTGCTACAAAAACGAGTATATCATAACATCATGAAAAAGTTCATAAATTCTTAGGTTGATGTAAATGCCACCAAAGAATTTGCCTTTTTACGAGGAATGAACAAAAAAAGTTGGAAAATTCTAGTGGGTTGTATAAAATATAACTGTCTAAGAAAAACTTGTGTTATAGACCAATAAATCATTTTCTTTTTGTACCATTCTAAAAACATATATATGCCACAGCTCAACCAAGTATTGGTGGGGGGTAAAAATGACAGCACAATATAACCAAAACTCTTCCACGGCTAACCCGCGCCTTATCGAGCACTTCGCCTTCCCAATTGAAATCTGTGAGCTCTTCTTCGTGTTGCCAATTGAACCATTCCGCGATGATGGACAAACAGTTCCACCAATCATGCTGGAAATCTGATAACTCGCCAGCTTTCGTTGACTTTTTCAACACAATCGCATTCATCTCTTCCGCCGGATGGGAGACCTTGACCTAGATCTTGATCTGGACCTCCTACTCCTGCAGTTAAAACTTGAAGTAGTTTATACACAAGATTGTATTTTTCATGGACTATCTTACAATTGGCCACTATGGAGTTTCACCTGTCATATGGTTACAGTAGATGATGATGGATGAGGGTAGGTTATCCAAAAATATCACGAAATAGACGAATATAAAGAACACACTAAGCAGAATACCTGGTTGGCTCAAGAGAAGAGTAGGGAGAATGCCTGCGCTGAGAGTGCTTGCTACGAGGAGACCTCGAAACTTGTCTATAAATGAAAACATTGCATGCTAAAGCCAGTGAGTTCAGAGCATAAAGAATGGGTTCTTGATGTGAATTTCTCGACCTTGTCTGAAATTGGGGGCTTTGAAAGTAATGCCTCTTCGGATACTCTCTCTGCCCCTATAAAAAGGCTCCACATTTTCTTTTTCTTATGTCCCAAAAAGAGGTTCCACTCTCTATGTATGGAAAATTTCAAGTGGCTTTATTATTTCTCTCCTCGGCACTACTTTCAACAACACAATTTCACCTTAATAACTGTGTCGGTTCCATTGTGGAACCTTTTTGTGAGACGGAGGGACTATATGCTAGGTATACCTCTTTATGGTTCCATTATCTATGTTATTTGTTTCAGAATTTAAGAAAAATAAATCCTAGAAATGGCTGTGGAAAAAACCCATAGTGATCTGGATACATGCCCAGTGCAGCAAATGATAGTTCGGACCAGTACCACACATATAATCTATATGTACATCAGTAGATGATATCTCTTAAATTCTATCCAAGATACTATTCCTAACTCTCAAAATTTTAAACATAATAAAGTACATATTCATATCTATAAGCAATTCCAAACAGACAGACAACAATAGCATCACTGCTGCACCCCATCTACTATAGTACCATGAGAGGCACAATTAGTCAATATCATATACAAAGTACTTAAAAAGAATGCAAGAAAATTGCTGATGATAAGACATGCTGGGGCCCTAGTAGTGAAATATCAAGGTTGGAAAAGTAGCCATACAAAACACAATATAATGAAATCCAACTTCTTCACTGTTTCAGGATAGAAAGAGAGATTTTGACAGTGTGGCAAGCCATGGTAGAGACATTTACAATTAAAAAAATCATAGTTCATTACATTAAATAAAAAATAAATATTCGGGTCAACAGAACGTACCTTTTTCTTGCCCTGACTGGTGAAGGTGATCTGCGCCTTCTTGAATAAAGCTTCCTGCAGCCACCCCCACACAGGTGTAGTTAAGAAACATGACATCAATTGCAGATCCAGAGAACCAAAAAATGTAAAGAAGCAAACCTTTTATAATCATCAGAAGATTCATCATTTGAATCAGTGGAATAGCTAACTAAGTTATCCTTGTTTTCTCTACCCCTGCTTCCAATAGAAGAGGACCGTTGTCTCCTGTGTTTGCCAGAGTCACTTTCATCCTTGCGTCTAGATTTTTCTCTCCTTTCATCCCTGTATTTTTCTCTCCCTTTCCCAATATCACCTTTAGCGCTTGATCTGCTTTCTCTGCCTGTCATCCCCTTGCTCTCTGTAGTATCAATAGAAGCTTTTTTCCTTGAATCAGGCTCTTCTTTTTGTGCAGACTTTACATTTTTATCCTTCACTCGATCTTTTTTATCGTCTAGAACATTCATTTTTTCGTCCTTGACATATTTATGGTTATCATTTTCCGTCTTGAAGGTTCTATCCTTGATATTGTCTATGTCCTTGTGTTTGCATTTACTAATATCATCTGCAGTGCTGTAACGAGCACCACTCTTATCTGAGTTATTTTGGCCTTCCCGAATATGAGAATTATCAGGTTTTCTCTTTTTACTATTGAAATTTTTATTTGGTCCTTCAATTTCCACATCCGCTTCCTCAGCAACGGTTTCTTCTGCAAGTCCTAACTTAGTCTTTGAGGATGGTCGATAATCTTCACGCACAAGTTCAATAGTCGCCCTATCATCACTTGATGGTGTACCAACTTTGTCAAAACTAACAGTCAAAGAATCCGGATTTGTTTTCATAGTATTCTCTACATTATCAGAAATACTACCATCCTTTTCAATTTTTTCATGTGAACTGCCATTCTCAATTGGCTTCTTGCCTTCTATGGGTTTTATTGACTGCTCAGCATAATTAACTTTATCGGCATTTGCATTAACATAACTCTGGATTTCATTATCATCACCATCACCATCACCATCAGATGCATAGTCTGCAAGACCTAGTACATTCCCAGGGGGGGCGGAGCTACTCTTCTTGCTATCACTATCAGAATTTTCTTTAGTTTTAAATGGTACAAGAACTTTAGCAGAAGCCTTGGGAGTCAGAACATCAAGTGCAGACGATGACACCTTATGACTGGAAAGGGCAGAATTTGGTTCAGCTGTAAAATACAAGAATAAAAACTTGCATCAGCGAATACTCAACCAAATTTACTGGAAAAGCCAGAAGCTGAAAGAAATAACTCGCATAATGAACTAAAGAGAAACCAACCTTCAAGACTGAGGACATCTTCGCTAAGAACTTTTGTCGCAATTTCATCAAAAAGTTCATCAGTTACCTGTCAACAGATATTAAGTCAAAAATTCTTAAAGAATTGTAATAAATGTACTCATCCATCAGGACCATTGACCAGCTGCAACCTTTAAGAGGACTTCTGTCAAGACACGCTTTATTTCCTGATTTATTGCTGCAGTCCTAGCGGCATCAGCATCATCCTGCATAGAGAAACAGACATTTGTCCAATCACTTTGACATAAAGAAATACAAATTGAACCGCAGAAAGAAAACTATAGCACATTTCAAGCATCATCTATGTCCTATGAAAAAAGATAGAAACTGGAATATATCAAATATAAAATGATACTGCAAAGAATTGACATGAAGACCAAATTAGAAATATTGGAACATTGGAAAACAGTTGGACAAATAATACCATGTTTAAAGGATCCCTAGAAGGCTATAAAAGTTCAGCTGAACATCTGCAGTGCCTTTTTATAAGCTCGATGATACAACAACATCCCAGTATAATCCAAACTTTAACAAGCTCAATGATATAAGCTTAAAAAAGCTTAACGGGATATGACATCTCAACTGACTTCTGAAAGCCGTTTCCAGCTTATTATGCTTATATTTGTGAGAGCGCTTTGCTTAAATAAGATTTAGAAAACCATTTGATGACTAATGTTTATAATAGTGCAATGAGGCTTATGCAATATGCGGCTAGGGTGTACACTTCATTGTGCAACGAAATGCAGTTCAGTGTAGGCTTAAGCAATCATCTGTATCATATTTTTAATTAAGTTGGGTCCCCTTTTATTAGAGCCTATTTTTTCCTTGAAAACTTCTAAAGAGGAGAAACTACATTTGATTGGAGAAGATTTGTAAGTTCTTGGTTTACTTAATGAGGATGAAGGAGATGATTTTGATTGATTTTTAATATTATTTGTAGTTATTTTTATGAGTATAAATCTGTACTAAACGGAGGATTATGCCTCATTGCGCAATGAGGCTTACACAATCTGCAATTACGAACATTATTGAGGAGTCATAAGCCGTAATCAGTTTATAGAAGCAGATGAGCCCCAATAAGCAAATAATAAATTCATCCAAATAAGCATCACATCCCAAATGAATAATTACAAGAAAGTTAGTATCATCACCTCATCATCATCATCCTCTTCTTCGGTAGATCTTGATGAATCAATGCTTTTACTATCTAGCTGATCACCTCTTCTATAAGGCTTGTTAATATCTTCATCTTCGAGGACATCTTCCCTTTGGAGATCAGGAGCTGAGCTAGTGATGACAGCTTTTTTCTTAATAATTTCCTCTCTGAGCCAGTTGGGCACAGAAGCCTAAAATTTCCAAAATAGAAGACGTGAATAAACAATAAATAGCCTTAGCCATTAATTTAATAGTTGGACATAATGTATACCTTCTTAGGGCGGTCAGTGGACATTCCATAGCCATCAAGAGGAAAAGCAATGGAGGTGGCACCAGCAGGTCCATTGGTGATACCAAAGTTGGAG